CTTGATGCGCGCGCTTTGCTCATGTTTAATTATGATAGACCATCTCGTATTTTTGTGTATTATTAACAGGTAATCACATGATTTTTCTCGTGCAATTTGGAATAAACAAGCACTTGTTAATTTTTTCAAAGACCACAAATTGCACTCGCCCTACGGGCTCGTGCAATTTTGTTAGTCTTTGAAAAACTTTACTCATGCTTATTTATTCCAAATTGCACTCGAAATCATGTGATTACCTAAACAAATAGATGAGATTAAATGTAATCTTCCGGTGCAAAATGTCATGGCTTATTTGTCCGCAAAAGTGAAAATCGACTTCGAGATATCGTGGGTAAAATTTCAAAGAAAATTACCCGAAGGGAAGTAAAAATTGTTTCGAGGTATTGGGGTTTCGAGTTATAGGGGTTAAAATTACAGTAAATATATGATGCAAATCCATGGAAAAACAGTTTTGCTTCGAGTTGGCGGGGAATTCGAGTTATCGGGGTTTAACTGTAGTGTCAAAGGACAAGGGACATATTTCGAAGGCCTCATTTCCAGTGCTCTAATTACACTTTGTATACCACAAATGGACAGCTGTTGGACACTTTTGCATTCTTCTACTTTTGCTGCAGCAAACGTCAAAGGTCTGCCGAGTGGATGTTAAAACTGCTCTGAGGGAGGAACAAATCAACCCAACTGTATCGCTCAAGACACATGCACAGCCAGTCAGGTACTCAGACGCTTTTGTCTTTATATGTCTCCTGACTGTCACGCAATGTAGAGCAGCTGAGCTTGTTGACTTTTTCTTTTCATTGGATTCTTCATCTTTGAGTTTGGTGTGCGTGACTCATTTTCCTTGTAGAAAGTTGTGCGTTAGCGTGACGTCAAGCTAGGAAGATTTGCGTGACTCTCGGACGCGAAATGAAGTCGTTTGCGTGACATAAACTTATGTATGTTTTCGATTTACCTGCAGACCTTCAGAATACAAGATCAACGCGCTTGGTTCGAGAGATGTCTTGCCGAACGGAAGGCAAATTTTTGCTTTAACTCTCACTTATAATTTTCACCAGGTAAGTCTTAAGGTGCAAGTAAATGTTTCTTTTTTACAATCTTATACGTCAAGCATTTCGATTGGACTGCCCATGCGTTTTTTTTTTGTTTTTGTTTTTTTTTTCAAGTACGGATTCCACATTCCTTTCTGACCAGTTTTATACTGTTTTAAGTCCAAAGCGGGTGAAGTGAGTCCCAATGCAACATACCTGTCTGACTTGTTATACGAATCTGAATACGAGTCTCAACTGTGGATGATTTTCGACTCTAACAAAAGGATGCTGGGAAGCGGAGATGCATTTCCTGACCGGGTAAGGAGAGTTTGGTTTTACATCCAATCCAGGTTGAATTGTCAACTGGTTGAGGACAACAATGAGTTCAACGAGTTTTCTGTATCTGAGTGGTAGAACATCGAACGCGAAATCCAAAGGTCTGAGGTTAGAATCTTGGAAAACTCAGATTGTCTTTGTCCTAAGCTAGTAACAAAAGATTAACTTCGTTCTTTGCCTCTGTGACTCCTATGAGTGACCGAGACATAATTAAATAATCCTCACAATATCAATACAATATCAAGCGGACAGGTGATACGAAAAAAGGAAAATATCAAGTGGAGGATTATTAGATGATCCATCACCAAATTCTTAGAACTTCATAGGAATTGTATGGCAGACAGACAGTAAGGAGAATTACTTTTGAAATCTGGGGTGCGGAAGGGTTAATAAACAGTTTTTTTTTACTCAATTTGAATCTAATTGAAATTATTCCGCGACTGATTGGCTCGAGGGAATAGTATAGCACTTTAAAATTTATATTTCTGATCCAATTTCTAATTCGTTCTGCTTGGTTCCTAATTCTTTGCAGTACTCAGTCAAGTTAGAAAAGGGAGATTACGTGCTGAAGCTTCAGGTAAGATGACTCGAAAAAGCCTGAAATAATCTGCACCCGCGAGAGGTCACGCAAGTGCTGCTTTCGCGTGCGCGTTTTACTCGCATTTTTGTCGAGGTTAGAAGATTCGGTCTTGATTTGGGTTCGTTGAGGAAAACTAAACTAGTGTCTGACGATAACCTGCGTTGAAAATATCTAAAAAGATGAGTCAGACATTCTTTCGAGTTGCTCGACGTTTCCTGTTGTCAATACTCTCTTCCTGAATTCAAAACTGTTCTCATTGTTTGTACTCTCTCACTACCGTCAGGTTCGACATGACAACAAGGATCAACTTGAGAAATTGAAAGACACCGTCATCTTAATAGAGCAGAAACTTTCGCCCGCTATCACTCTAGACACACATTCCTCACGTCTCGCCGCAATGAAATCTACCAAGTTCAATTCAGGCAATAAAAGGCCGGGCTCTTGTTGTCCTGTCTACATAATGCCTCCAGGAGATGACAAGTAAGTAACCAAGCATTTCTTGAGTTCTACAACTACAGCCTCGTTCACAAGGGGTAGAACATGCTATTCGTGATTTCTACGCTTCTGCACCCCTGTGTAATTTGTAATGAATAATTTTACGTTTCGGAAGTTTTCATTTTAGTATTCCAACGTTAAAAAAGGGAATGTAGTGGCCGAAACTAATTTTGCCGGTCTTGGGTCAAATTGGAAGATTTCACGAGTTAACAAAAGAAATTTGTCCAAAATTGTGGTTTGAAAAATAGAGGAGCAATCAGAGATATTAATTTCTTCATAGAACAATTTTCAAGGGCCAGAAATGACCCGAAATACCTTTGGTTTTGTATTACCCCGTCATTTGATTGGCTTAGAAAACTTGTGCCATCCTGTCAACCAATAAGATTTAAGACTGATACCAATCGCGACTTGGTCAGGTTAGGTTTTTTTTTACTTTGAGATCTCAATGGTTGCTCGTGATATTTTACTTTGATCTGATTGGCTGTTTCTTTGGTTTTGAATTTAAGGAGAATCCCTCTAAAGGTTTTTAAGTCCTCTGAAATGCCTCTTCAGTTATTGTAGCTTCAAGGTAGCTTGTCTCGCGGGATTGTAGATACATACATTCCACTTACTGCGTGATAAAACGCTGATGAAAACCTCCGATGCACCATCGTCCAACGAGGGGAAATATCCATATTTAAAATTGCGTGATGTTACGGACACCTGAATAAGCTCTGGGCGATGTGAGTCATGTAGCTTGTCAGCGGACTTTACCTTTCTCATCCGGGAAAACTTAAAACAGAATCTGCGGCAATTTTTGTGTTGTCTCAAATTTTCTTGGTACTAGTTGTTCACCGACTTGGGCTTTCACGACATTGACTGGACATTTTTTCCTCTGTGATATAGGATTCCCAAAGCTGCCAAATCTGGGCACATCCTGAAGGGAACAATTTCTTACGTGAAAAGCGAGACTGTTAAAAAAGCGGTGAGAGGGATTTATTTTGAATTTTCCTCGCAGGTGAGCTGCAATTGACCAGTGATCAAGACAGAATTTCTCCTTACAATATCAATACAATATCAACCAGATAAATGATGAGAATAAAGAAAAATATCAATTTGGGGATAAAAAGTTGATCCAATACTAAATTCTCTGAACTAACATTATAAGTATTTTATGGTCGAAAGTAAGGAGAATTACAAATTTGATCAGGGAGGAAAAGGGTTAAAGAAATTGTAGCTCCGAAAAAGGTGTTGCTGTTGTGAATTCAGATAAGTATTCGCGATTTGTATAAACTTGTTTTTTATTCTGGTTTTTCACCTGTTTTGCTTGTTAACCAACAGACTTATTTTAGATTTAGCGCCAGTCGAGCCCGTTTCCGTCGAGTGCCAGTTGAATCATTGGAAGATGAATCGACTGTTTTTGTCCAATCAGAAAGAAACACAAGCACTCCGAACACTGTCATTGAACTGATCGTCATATGCTCACGTCAGTAAGATCAAAATTGAAATACCACGGATGTATTTTGTAAATGTCTTCCTTTTCGGCAAAAAGTTAAGGACTTCATCAGAAAAAAAGGATTATGGCAGTTATGTACACAAATTGAGTAGTTATGAATGTAGAGGATACTGGTGCTACTTTTGTGGTCGCTGTTTTTTTTAACTTCTCATATCAATTATTTCAGTGCGCTTACCCAGTTCAGTACGTTGTTCCGGCCGCACCTATTAAACAGAACAGCAAAGCAGCTACCACCAAACCGGTGGAAAAAGAGGTTAGTCCAAGGAACCGGGAGGGCGAAGGCGGCGGAAGGGTGTCGAAGGACTTAGGTTGTGTCACAA